GCATACCACCCTGGAAAGTCACCAATTCATGAAGGAACACAGCAAGAGAGTCAAAAACGGACAAGAGAACTACGAAATAGCCAGAAAATAATTAAGATGGCAATAGTAAGTTATTATATATCAATAATTACCTTAAATGTATATGAATGAATTCTCTAATCAAAAGTCAGAGTGACTGGATGGATTAAAAAAAAAAGATCAACTGTATGCTGTCTACAAGACACTCACTTCAGCTTTAAGAACACACACAGGCTCAAAGTGAAGAGATGGGAAAAGATACTCCATGTAAGTGGAAATCTAAAGAGAACAGGGGTAGCTCTACCTAAATCAGACAAAATAGACTTTAAGCCAAAAATGTAACAAGAGACAAAGAAGGTCATTATATAATCACAAAGGGCTCAATTCACCAAGAAGACATAACAGTCATAAATATATATACACCCAAGATCAGAGCACCTAAATATATCAAGCAAATACTAGTAGAGCTAAAGAAAGAAATAGACAATAATACAATAATAGTAGAGTAATTTCAATACTCCACTTCCAGCAACTGGTCATGCACACAGAAAATAAAGAAATGTTGGGCTTGAACCGTACTTTAGGCCAAATGGACCTAAAAGGCATATATATGGGACATGTGATCCAACAAAAGCAAAAAATACATTCTTCCCAAGCACACATAAAACATTCTCAAGGTTAGACCATATGATAGGTCACAAAATAAACTCATTTGTTCTTTCATCCACTGAATAGATATTAAATGCCTAGTATTTGTAGAATAGAGCATGTATAATTGAAGCTATATATAAGTATCCATAATCACTTAGAAAGAACTCACATATATAATCCTTGACATTGAAAGGACTCATACTCTATGTCATGCTTTTTGGGTCATATAAATAGTGATGATGGTTTTGTTTTAATTCTTAAATAGGCTCCCTCCTGATTCTCATGGTGGTCACTGACATTTCAAAACATCTGCCTAGAGTTAATGATGTCATTTACGGCCTAGTTGCTGAATAGTTTTACGAGGCTTGGCTCTTAGATCTCATCATCGTCTTCTATCCAACCTTCTATGAAAAGATAAATACATTGAAAATTAAGAATATTTTTAACTAAATTAACTTGTAGGTGTTGATCTTAGAAATTCCATAATACAACTTTTGTTTGTTTATTAAATAATAAAGTCAAAAAAGTGAAATGAGATTGGAACACATTAAGGATATCAACTATAATCATTTCTTTAGAGAAAGCTGACAATTGAAATTTTTTTAATATTTTATATTTTCTTTCAGAAAATGAATCTAATCTTTTCTAGAATAGATATCAAGTGCTACAATAATACAATTTTTGAAAATAAGATAGTTTTTCCTGTCATGTGGTAGAATTAAGCACATAGGTGAAGTTTTAAAAATTATGACAATTTTGTATTCAGTCATAAAACAGAATGCATTTCTGCAATTTGTAGCAGCATGGATGGACCTAGAGAATATTATGCTTAGTGAAATAAGTCAGACAGAGAAAGACAAGTATGATATCACTTATATGTGGAATCTAAAAAATAATACAAATGAACGTATATGCAGAATAGAAACAGACATACAGATAAAGAAAACAAACTTGTGGTTATCCAAGAGGAGAGGGAAGGGAGAAGGGACAAATTGAGAGAATGGGATTAACAGATACAAACTACTATGTATAAAATAGATAAGCAACAAGGATATATCGTATAGCACAGGAAATTATAGCCATTATCTTGTAGTAATTTATAATGTAGTGTAATTTGCAAAATACTGAATCACTATGCTGTACACCTAAAAATAATATAATATTGTAAATCAAGTATATTTGAATAAAAAATAACAGTGGCAAAAAAACAGCAACAAACAAAAACAAAAAAGATAATTTTCTTAATGTTACAAGGGAACAAAACATCATGTTTGCCTTAATTTTTATTTCATGAGATAGTGTCATCTTAGAATCATTTTTCTTGGTAATTTCTATAGTTTTCCTACTTTTCACTTAAAGGCATAAACTTACTGAATAGCTGAGGATTTAATATGTGCTAGGCCAAATATTCCAAGCATTTTTCATGTATTAAATAATTTAATTTTCATTGCAGTTACCATAACCATGGTTATTCCCCCTTTTCAAATGAAGAAACTGAGGCAAAGAGAGTTTAAGATTAATTACTCAAAATTTGTTGAAGACTGTCTGTCCCCTATTGAGTTACTTTGGCATCTTTGTCAAAAATCAAATGACCATTCAGCCACGAAGCTATTTCTGGACTTTGTTTTTTTCTATTGATCTAAATATCTGTTCTTAAGCCAATGCCACACCATCTTGATTACTGTAGCTATACAAAAAGTCTTGAAATCCCTTACTGTGAGTCTTCCAATGTAGTTGCCTTTTTTTTTTTTTCCTGATATTGCTTTGGCTATTCCATTTTTTTTTCTCATTTCCATATGAATTTTAGAATTAGCCCATCAGTTTTAAATTAAAAACCTGCTGTGGATATTATTTAGGTTATGTGTTGCATCTGTAGCTCAATTTAGGGTAAACGGATATCTTGAAAATATAGTCTTCTATTCCATGAACATGTTATATCTCTTTAAATTTAAATCTTCAGTTTTTCTGAGCAATATTTTGTAGTTTTCACTGTACAGGTCTTAAATATATTTTGTTAAGT